CTCATTTACAAGCTATTTTAAGTCATCAGTAGCTCAAGTTGGGAACTCTATTGAATAGTGATTTTTGCTGCTTTCAGTCTTTAGTTTGTTTTTATTTGGGGAAATATAGGAAGAGAAATTAAATTCAATCCTTGGAAAAATCTAGTTTGTCTAGCATTTTTTGAAAGAATTTACAGAATTTCTACAAGTGGGAACTTTTGGGACATATGTTCTTGTCTCAGAACATTGAGGTTCTTTGTGTTGGTTGCCCATGCAATCAGGTGGCAGTTCTCAACAGCTGAGGGTCTCTGGGGACCATTGTTTTCCTTGTGAGTCCCCAAAGCCTCTTTACATAGGCTTTCCATAGGACAATGCACACCTGAAACTCATACTACAGCTGCTGTGGTTTTCTGTCATAAAGAAGAGCCCACTGGGAAGCAAGTTGTGTTGTGTAAACCTATCAGCCATTAAGGCAGATCATGGGTTTTATAAGTAGTAGATGGAATTATTTGTACTCCCTCAAGGTAAATTCATATAACTTCAGTACTTTGTTTTAATTCTTAATGCAAGTGACTACAAAGAGGTAATTTTTGTCAACCTGCAGTAGTGTTGTAAGTAGAGTCATAAGTCACAAAGCCTTGCTTTGAGTTCTATCTAATGGAGGGGGAGAGGGGTCTGCCTTGGTTTCTCCGTTTCTAAAGTGGAGTGGGTAGAATCTGTCTATATGTAGTCCTCCCTATAGGGTTGTTTCAAGAGTGGAATGAAATGTAGCCATAGTAGTAAATCATGAATTAAGAGCCTGTGTATAAGGTACAAAGGCCAGGATTTTGTGAACAAGATACATTCAGCATAAATTGCTGCCTGATGGTTGGTTGTTCTTGGTTGAAAAGAAAGACCAAATGTGTGCTTACAATAGGAAAGTTGAAAGAAAGAAATATAAGAAGACCCTGACTAGCAGGTAGTGGCTTTCACACAGGCTGTGGCTTAAGTCAGACTCCAGGATCCTGGGAGCCAGGACCTGCATGAAGAGAGATGCCTACGAAGCACCAGATCCACCAGTAGTGAGGGGAGCTGAAACTAGTAAGCGGAGGGTGGGGCAAGTTTTCAACACAGACCTGAGGGATGAGTCACAGAGAAGAGTGACTTACAGCCAGTTCCTCTCCTGATTTTTGTTGGCGATTCAGTATTCCTAGAAATCTACAATGGATGAGTGGCTTCAGTGTTGTTTTGTTTAAATCACATGCCCGTTTTGATGGGGCATCAAGTTATTTATGCAGTTTACATTCATTGTGTGCATTCTGCAGCATATTGTTAGACACAGATTTTAAAATGAGATTTAAAACCTCGAAGTAAATACAAGTTTTAAATATTCTGCACTTCAGTGACTGCCTTAGACTGGGAGGATAAAAGCATCTTGGATGGGGAGGGCAAGGTACAAAATGAACCTGTCCTGTGTGCCCCGGGTTCTCCCCCTTCCACACAATGCCTAGATTTTCCGCCCTAGGACAGAACAGTGGATCTCAGTCAAAATAGTCCCAGTGGAGATGCCTTGTATTAGTTGGGGACAGTGGAAAGTCATTGTGTGTGTGTGTGTGTGTGTGTGTGTGTGTGTGTGTGTGTGTGTGATATAAACAAGTGCAAAACATATTTATTCCAAAGGTGCTGTTATCCTAGTAGTGTTAACTTCATATTGATGGATGTAAGCATTTTTACATGTACTACCTCATTTGTGTTGGACTGTCTTGAGATAGGGCTGAATGGGAAAGTCCTACCATGAGCTGTTACAATTTAGAATATGAATGGATAGCTATGTAGAGTAAGACATCACATCTACCCTGTAATGTTTTCAGGGTGTCTGGCAACAAAGGTTTATTGAATTCATCTTTTGTGCAGAACATCTATTAGAGACTTGGAGATTAGAAGCAAGTTTATTTTCTTGTGTTTAAGGAACTTAGAGGATGTGTTTAAGTCTATAGAGGATGTAGGGTAGAATACTCAAGAGCAGAGAAGGTTGAGCATCAAAGGTCCACCAGGGTCTCCGTCTACCTTACTTGCAGAGCTTGTTGTGTCTGGATGCCTTGGAATGTCTTGTACTGCTTGCAGTATTCAGCCATGCAGGTAGCATCAGGAATGTGGCTGAGACTTGACTGGGCCTAGAAAGCTAGATGACTGTAAGGCAGTGTGGCTAGTAAAGAAGTCTTACCCTGCCATAGCCATCTAATGATGTCATACAAAATAGGGTTTGGGTAGGTATGCAATCCTTGGTTCTCACTGTCGCTTTCCTTACATAGTGCTGGTTGAGAGCACACTATCAGAGCTCTAACAGTTGCAGGCAGCTCAGCAGAGAATTGTGGACACACTGCCCCACACCCTGCTCCTTCTTTAATGTCTCACTGGCTGCATGAAAAACAGGAATTTATGAAACAAGCTCTGCACAGCAAACTTCTTTCCTGTGTGTGTATGGGGGGGTAATTGTTGGCAAAGTTAGTATACAACTGTTGCTCAGAGTGACCTGAAATGTCCTCACAAAATATGTAGTGTGATATTTTGATAAGTAAAGAATTGCTATGGCCAAAACAAAACAAAAAGTCCAAGCAGTTAATAGATACTAACCCTGAAGTTGGTGAGCTGTTTTTAAATTCTTTGAAGATTTCATTATTATTATGTCTTCTTCAGTCCTATTGAAAATGCCCCTCCCCCATGTGTGCTTGCCATGGTCTGGCAGAATCTTCCTGGGCATTATAGAGCTGTTTCCCTGCCCCCCCATCCCAAACCTCCATCCCCACCCCTACCCCCACCCCCATTTGTTGAAGGAAATCAGGAAGCTGATCTCTGGGAAGTCTCCTCCCCCATACTCCCCTTTGTTATTAACTAAATGTGACAGGACACAAGTCAAGCTTCCTTTCCTCTAGAAGTTTCATCAGAGCTTATCTGTGTCTCTATTGTATTCAGAGAACAAAATTGTCATGATGGAATATTGTACAAATGCCCAGACTTCAAGCATTGTGGGATTCAGGTTTGCAGAACTTGAAGGAAGTTGCTTTGAAGGAAGAATTGGGAATTTTGGTCACTGGTGTTGATGGACATGGCAGCCAAAGCCATAGCTCAGGGTTATAGGGTGGGGGACAGGATAATAGGGAGATGGGGACAGTGAGGTTTTTTAAATATATGGGATTGAGATACAACATGAAAGAAATTATTTCTTAATCTCTTTGGGAGATGTTTGGAGTTTAAGACCTGGCCCCTCTTAATGGTCCTAGAGTTGGGGTAGATCATAAGTAGGAGTATAGAATGAAGTCATAAAGGAGAGAGAGAGAGAGAGAGAGAGAGAGAGAGAGAGAGAGAGAACGAGAACAAACCACTGCCACAAACCCACATACCTGCCTGGCCATCCAACCAGAAAGCTCCTGTTAGGCCATCTCTGATCCACCCTTGCCATGCATGCTGGCAAAAGGACTTGACACAGAGCTGTTGTGTTGCAATCCTTGGGCAGAATATAGTGCAGAATGCATTTTGAAATGTGGGTTTCCAAGCTCTCTTGGGCCTCTCTGACTTTTGTCTTTTAAAAGTGAGATTACCACTACACTGTTACCACTACACTCCTTTTGTTTTCCATCTCTTGTTGAGAAAAGACATGAAACATGAATGTGTTGGGGTCATATGGAAGTCTGACCCTGTAATGTTCTGCTCTGGTACAATGGTTGGCACATGAGCACCTTCATTCCCTGTCAACAGCATGAGGATGTGGGCATTGTGGCTGCCTCCTAGGGTGACCACAAATCTAGCTAGAGTCTTTTTGTGGTCCAAGAGGGGCCACAGAATATTTGAGCAGCTAAGACTTGTACTCAGTTGGCATAGAAGGCCTAAGAGTTGAGCAGCCATGTGCATAGCTCTGCTGTGAAGATTGTGAACTACCCAGAATTCTGTTCCTGGATTTGGGATTGGGTCTTGCAGAACCCAATTCAGCTGCCAAATGAATAGGTAGCAACTGTGTTGGGCAGAAAGCTTAAGAAAAGGTACCTCCTTGGGTAAGTGTTTTCACTTCCCTAGATGTGGGCCACAGGCTCCCCCAAATTCAAAAGTCAAACTGGACTTTCCTTGTTTTCATCTAAGGACTAAGTTTTACTGTCCTGTCTACACCCCCACTGAATTAGGAATAGAGGAGCATCACTTAAGGTTGCTTTCTTTACCCTGCTTCCTTTCATGTTGTTCCTCTGGATAAAGTGCACCCTCTTTTACAGGGTCCTGAAGTTGGTAGGTTTTCTGCTCTTTGTTAGAAAAGTTCTTGAATTTAAATGTTTCTCAAAAGAATAACTTATTTTTTTATTTGCCTGATACAAAGACTCTCAAAGTATAGATGAACTTAGGTATTAATTTCGTAGATTTTTTTGTTTGTTTGTTTTGTTTTGTTTTTCCTTTTTTTGGAATGGGTCTTGCTAGGTAGCTCACACTGGCTTCCGACCTTTTCCTCCAAAGTGCTGAGACTACAAGTGGATGCGAATGTCTGTCTGCAGTTTTGGTTCCTGAATAGGGATAGATCCTGCTTTATTTCTCCATTCTGTGATCTCATGGGCCCAGTGATAGAGAATATATCACTTTGTGATGTTTATTTTACCTGAAAATAATCGGAAAGGGCTTTGTTTTTGATACAGGTTCAAAACTGTATAAAAGAAACATGGCTGTGTGGGATAATATATCTACATAAAAGAAAATACAGTTTGCTTATTTAATTAGAGACATAAGTGATATTTTTTAAAAGAAAAATTGTTTTCTTTCTTATACCAATTTGAGATGTTTTATAGTGGGTTTATTACTACTGTTCAGAGCTAGTGGGCTCAGTTGGTAAGGGCACTTGTTGCACAGTCCTAGCCTAGTAACCTGAGTGATCTTTAGAACCCATGTAAAGGTAAGTGAGAAGAAACTCTGAAAAGTTATTTTATGACCTCCACATAAATACTCTGGCATAAGTACCATGGTACATTTGCCCTCCTCAGAAATAAAGAACTGTTGGGCTATACAGATTGAAAATTGTATATATGATCCTTATTGAACATAAGTTTTTTCAAGCAGCATGTACTGTACTCCTGACATACTGTTTTGCTTTACAGAATTCAATTCGCCATAACCTGTCCCTTCACAGTAAGTTTATTCGAGTACAGAATGAAGGGACCGGAAAAAGTTCTTGGTGGATGCTCAACCCAGAGGGAGGCAAGAGTGGAAAATCCCCTCGGAGAAGAGCTGCATCCATGGACAACAACAGTAAATTTGCTAAGAGCCGGGGACGAGCTGCCAAGAAAAAAGCATCCCTCCAGCCCGGGCAGGAGGGACCTGGGGACAGCCCTGGGTCTCAGTTTTCTAAATGGCCTGCAAGTCCTGGGTCCCACAGCAATGATGACTTTGATAACTGGAGTACATTTCGTCCTCGAACCAGCTCAAATGCTAGTACGATCAGTGGGAGACTTTCTCCCATCATGACAGAGCAGGATGACCTGGGAGATGGGGATGTGCATTCTCTGGTATATCCACCTTCTGCTGCAAAGATGGGTTCTACTTTGCCCAGTCTGTCTGAAATCAGCAATCCCGAAAACATGGAAAACCTTTTGGATAATCTCAATCTTCTCTCATCCCCAACATCTTTAACTGTATCAACCCAGTCTTCACCTGGCAACATGATGCAGCAGACACCTTGTTACTCGTTTGCACCGCCAAACACCAGTCTGAATTCACCCAGCCCAAACTACTCAAAGTACACCTATGGCCAATCCAGCATGAGCCCCTTGCCCCAGATGCCTATGCAGACCCTTCAGGACAGCAAACCCAGTTATGGAGGATTGAACCAGTATAACTGTGCACCAGGACTTTTAAAAGAGTTGCTGACTTCTGACTCTCCTCCCCACAATGACATTATGTCACCAGTTGATCCTGGAGTGGCCCAACCCAACATTCGGGTCCTGGGCCAGAATGTAATGATGGGCCCTAATTCAGTCATGCCAGCCTATGGAAACCAGGCATCTCATAACAAAATGATGAACCCCAATTCCCACACCCACCCTGGACATTCACAACAAACATCTTCAGTCAATGGACGTGCCCTGCCCCATGTGGTAAACACCATGCCTAATACATCTGCCATGAACCGCTTGACTCCCATGAAGACACCTTTACAAGTGCCTCTGCCCCACCCCATGCAGATGAATACCCTGGGCAGCTACTCTTCTGTGAGCAGTTGCAATGGCTATGGTAGGATGGGTGTCCTCCACCAGGAGAAACTCCCAAGTGACTTGGATGGAGTGCTTATTGAGCACTTGGACTGTGACATGGAATCTATCATTCGGAATGACCTCATGGATGGAGATACCTTGGATTTTAACTTTGATAATGTGTTGCCCAACCAAAGCTTCCCACACAGTGTCAAGACTACGACACACAGCTGGGTGTCAGGCTAAGAGTTAGTGAGCAGGTAAGTTCATTCACTAAGGCCTTTTTAGAAGGGGACACAGGACCATGTTCTTCTATGGCTAGACCTTAAAAAATAATTAAAGACAGAGTTTTCTATAACCTGAGATCCCCACCACACCTGGGTTGTGTGGTGTCAGGGAGCTAACCCAGGGCAGCACTCTGGCAGAGCTACACCCTGGGATTATGCTAGGCTTTTTTCTAATATTACCTAATTGTGCATTGCAGAGAAGCTTCTGTACCATTTATCACCACCAGTTTACCAAATTTCCTTTTGAGGCTAAAATAGAATACAGATTCCTTTAACATTCTTTTCACTGTTAGATGGCTTCATCCTTTCTACCAGCCCTTGAATAAATGAACACATTTGTTATAAATCAGATGCCAAAGGTCCCCACCCACCTTTATTTATTTATTTATTTATTTATTTATTTATTTATTTATTTTAAATAATGAGGAATTTCCCCTGTTTAATGATTCTGGAGCTGTTTGAGAAAGTTGTCGCTTCCCCCATTCCCAAGTGTACCTGACACTCTAGTTGGTTAAATACAATTGAATTGAATTTGACTGTATTTTCATTGTGTGTGTTTTCCCCCTTAGGCTACATTTAAAAGAACTGCAGAATGTCTGACAGCAGGAACTGAGAGAAGCAGTCCAAAGATGCCCTTCACCCCTCCTTTTAGTTTTCTTGATTAAAAAAAAAAATCCCTATTTTCCTTTCATCAGACTTGGCAACAGAAACACTTTCCTGTACAGGATGTTTGCCCAGCGTTTGCAGGTTATGTGCTCCTGTAGATAAGGACTGTGCCATTGGGAATCGTTACAATGAAGTGCCAAACTCACTACACCATATAATTGCAGAAAAGACTTTCAGATACTGGCGTGCTTTCAAGTTTTGTATATATGCAGTAGACACAGAATTGTATTTGTGTGCGTGTTTTTTAATATCTACTTGGTCCAAGGAAAGTTTATACTCTTTTGTAATACTGTGATGGTCTTGTGTCTTGATAAACTTTGCTTTGTACTACCTGTGTTCCGCTAAGGTGATGAATCACGAACTAAGATCTCCATTCTGCACCTCTGCTGAGTGACTTTGAACCTGTTCATCTTCCACAGGATTCGTATGAGAACCAAGTAGCCTGTGATCAATCTGCTGAATAAATAAATGGACTTGTCAAACTTTGGGGCAGAATAAGATTAAGTGCCAGCTTTGTACAGGTCTTTTCTATTTTTGTTGTTTATTTGTTATTTGCAAATTTGTACAAACACCTTAAAATGGTTCTAATTTCAGGATAAATGACTTTTGATGTTATTGTTAGGACATGATCATTTTTGGAATAGATATTGAACTGTAATGTTTTCTTAAAACTAGAGTCTACTTTGTTACATTGTCTGCTTGTAAATTTGTGGAATCAGGTATTTGGGGGCAGCATTCATAATTTTCATTTTGTATTTCTAACTGGATTAGTACTAATTTTATACGTGCTTAACTGGTTTGTACACTTTGGGATGCTACCTGCTGATGTTTCTGACTAATCTTAAATCATTGTAATTAGTACTTGCATACGCAACATTTCTGGCCCTGTTTGGGCAGGAAAGTGATGTATATTTACAGAAACTTTGTGTTTTGTATGTAGAAGATTTTAATATGTTTTTATGTGTGTATTTTAAAGAAATTCCACCTGCTTTTATTACCCTGTGAATTGTGTGCATCGCATAGCATCAAGTCCTGAGATGGATGCCCCATGTCACGTTCTTATAGCTCCTTCGGGAGGTCTCCTGTCTGTAGGTCAGGAAAGGAGACCTTCATCTGGAATGACGTTCCCTTGTCTAACTGGGGTTTCCTCCTCCTCTGAACTCTTCATTTTTTGGTCCAGGTTGGAGGTGGTTTTATGGTTGTGTCCTGAGGAATCATGTCACTTCTCAGTTTCCATCCCTCTTTGGCTCTGAACAGTGTACATCTAAGAAGGAAGTTTGAAAACGGGACTTCAGTGCTTTGTACTCTTAACTACAGGTAGTGGCTACCACATGGAATAGAACTAGTTAAAAACTTGAGACAATAAACTTGAAAACAAACCAGCTATAAGTGTACATTTATTTTGAAATCCTTAGCTTAAGAATTTGAGTTATTTTCAGCCTTGAGCAGCCTAATTTCTATCTCAAACATTAAATGTAATACTTTCTAGTTACCTGTAGCTGACAGACCAGGATAATCAGGTTTGCCTCCTATCCTATCTGTCAACATTATTACCAAGTCCTGTTGAATGCCCAAAGCCGCCACAATGTGAGGAATATGAGTACAGCAGCATCTCTTTGCCTTCTTGAGAAGGCCTGGTTTCTCTGTACACAAACCAAATCAAATTTGCTGTTTTTAGTATGTTACCTCTCCTTAGTTTTTGCTTTTGCTTAGTATATTCTCTGTGCACGTTAACAAGAATACAAATGTTCCTGATTTTCACAGTTGACCAGCTATGTCATAAGCTTCCCACTGTGACTTTTTTTTTTTTTTTTTTTTTTTTTTGGCAACCAATCATTGTCGTTGTTTGGGCACTCCAAAACAGGGTTCATTTTAGAAACTTTAGTTCCTCCAAGCAGAGCCTCCTACAAATGGACTAGAACTTACTGATGTCAAAGAACTTGGGTCTCACTTTCCTCTTTCTTGCACCATTTCTTCACCATTGCAGAAAGGGCCTCTGCATTTAATCATTCGACACAGAGGCAGCTACAGCTGTAATCAGTGGTAGACTTGAAGAATGTCACTGAGTGACTTGGGTGTTTCTTCCTCCTGAAGCTATGTAAATCTCATCCCCCAGTTTCCTTAGATCATAACATGAGTCATGGGTAGTTGTCTTGGGTACAGTGAAGTCCAGGAAGGGCTTCTTGTCTCTTTGAAAAGCAAACTTCATGTGGCCTCTGGGAGTCCTTCTCTGTAAGAATGTTCCATTTCTAGAGCAGCTGGTCTATTATTGTACATGATTGCTTTGTGAAATGATTTCACTTATGCAGCCTTGGTTGATTTATTCCCTTTGGTTTGTACTGTTACTCAAAGCATATTGTATTATAAAGCTACTTGGATATTTTAAATATAAAGATGTATTGTTTCCATAATATAGATGTATGGGATATATTTAGGTGATAGATACATGACATGGAAAATTCTGTTTGGACATGAGTCTAAGTTAATTAGCAAATATTATATCCTGATGAACAGTAAATCCTGGACTATAACAATAAGGGATAGACACTGAAAATGGAACAGTTCCCCAAAGGTGTACAATTTGAACTTATTCAACTGCTGAATATATGACTCCTCCTCCCCCCCCCAAAAAAAAAACCCTACAAGTTCTTAGTTACAGCTCTTATAAGTTAACTGATTTTAAGAGAAATTTTTCTCTGTGGTTTCAAGTGGGGAATGATCATGCAGTATACTGTGCATTGTGGTTTATGCAAACAAAATGCCTGGCACTGTGGCCAGTGATAGCCTTGTAAGTCCCATCAGGATAGAGTCACACCCTCCCACACACTTTACCACCTGAATTGAGTAACAGTGCAGACTCCATGTTCCTGTTCTGATACTAGCTGAGAAGTGCCTGATGATGATGTTGATGTACTTACAGATACAAGAACAATCTTTACTATAATTGTATAAAGCCATAAATGTACATAAATTATCTTTAAGTGGCTTGGTGTGTTTCTTTCCTTAGTGTTTGAAAGAAGCTCTTGATCAAAAATGTTTTTATGCCGGGTGTCGGTGATGCACACCTTTAATACCAGCACTCAGGAGGCAGAGGCAGGAGGATCTCTCTGAGCTCGAGGCCAACCTGGTCTACAGAACAATTGCCAGCATAGTTAGGCTCCAAAGCTACACAGAGAAACCCTGTCTCGAAACCACCCTCCCCCGCAAAAAAAATGTTTTTATTTAGCTACCAAAGCACTTTCGTTAGACCTTGTCAACCCCATTAGTAATGGTTATTCAAATCATGCATTTCCTTTGGAAGAAAGAGGGAACCATCCCCATAGGACCATATCATGGTCCCTGATATGAAAAAGTGCAATATAAAATTAACATCTAAGCCTGACATTGGTGGTGCACACCTTTAATCCCAGCACTTGGGAGGCAGAGGCATGCAGATCTCTGAGTTCCAGGCCATTCTGGTCTACAGAGCGAGTGCCAGGATAGACTCCAAAGCTACACAGAGAAACCCTGTCTCGAAAAACAAAAATTAACATCTAGAGCAATGGTTCTTACCCTGTGGATGGATACACCTTCCGGGATCAAATGGCCCTTTCATAGGGGTTGCCTATCAGACATATTATGATTCATACAAATAAAATTAGTTGTGAAGTAGCAACAAAAATAATTTTATGGTTGGAAGTCACTACAACATGAAATATTAAAGGAATGCAACATTAGGAAGGCTGGGAACAACTCACTGTTCTAGAGTCTGGCATAGAGGCATAAACCTTTAATCCCAGCACTTGGGAGACAGAGGTAGGTGGATCTCTGTGAGTTAGAGGCTAATCTGATCTACATGGCATGTTCCAGGATAGCCAGGACTACATAGAACGAGTCTCAAAAAAGTGTGTGTGTGTGTGTGTGTATATATATATATATATATATATATATATATATATATTCTTTAAAAGTCTTGGAATGCCTAAAACCTCATTCAAGTCAGTAATTATAAACTTATAAACCTTTAATAGTGGACTGAAAATGAGTTAGTAGGGCATGGCAAGAGCAGGGTCCTGGTTAGAGTAAACACAAGGTGACTTGGCAGACTTGATGGCTTTCCAAGGCCAGGTGATCCCCCTGAATTTACATCTTACCCAAAGAGGAGGATCTCAATAGTTGCAAAGCAGAGGTTTCTGTGTATTTGCTCTTTCAAAAATTGCCTGAGAAACAGTTGCTTTCAATTAACATAGTTAAGACAATATTTTAAAACAAGGCTTTGCTTGTTTCCTTGTCTGTACCAGACAAGCAAATAGATGAGTGAGTTAAAGTAATAAAGTAACAAAGAAAGGGGAATTCTTGTGTTTCATGTTTAGACAGCAAAAGGTCAGCTTGGGACTTCCCCCAGCTCTCAACAGCAGATCTTTGTAAAATGTGGTAGCCAAAAGCCCAGTATGTAGAACCGAAAAACAAACAGTAACAAACTGTATAAACTGAGGCTCCTGGGCATAGAGTTTTGAAAACTTTTGATCCGGACCAAATGTAGGCCTGCTTGATTGTATAGACTTAACAGAACCTAATATAGGCCTCCTTGATTGAACTAACAGAACTCAGAAACCTGCAAGCTCCTTGTAACATTTCAGGCATCTCTCGATAAATGGCAGGAGACAGGATTTTTAACAGCACTTAGGTCCTGCTGTGGGCTAGAGATAACTGTAGCATCTGTATGTGTGTGCCCAGGGGTTGCCTCTTGACCTGGGGACCAGCAACCGTACAGAACTCTGCCCTGGCTGCAGTTTCTCCCATAGCTGAAATGACCTGTCAATGGTATAACTAATCTCTCAGCTGTTATGGTTGGTTTAGAAAGAGACTAAGTACAAATCTCCAAAGTCCGTATCATCACACACTAAACCATATTGTAGAACAGTGCTCAATAGAGGCCTGTGGGCCTATAGCTAGGCTCTGATGTTGTAGTAGGTTTGCATACACTTAAGTCATAATGCGAGTGTGAAAAATACTGCAACCTCTAGTCAAAAGGTTTCCATCTCCCCCCACCCCTCCCCAAAGGGGCTTTGGTGATAACCTGTATATACGGGCTTAAGGGAGAAGATAGTACATAGGAAACCAGGCATTAAAGGGAGCCAACTTAACTTAACCCACAGTGTTGGGTGTCTAGAAGTTAGTGAGATGGAGTCTTTGTAGACCATGTAGCACTTGAGCTTGAGCGACCTGACCTGCCTACTGCTGAAATGACAGGTGTGTGCCCTTACGCCTGTGGGCTTTCAATAAGTCAGCTGGGAGGGTGTCTGCTGGTGCCTGGGAAGTTCAGGCTGAGAAAGTGTTCAAACTACCTTCAACTATTCCTCATGGACTCATTCCAATGACAATTTTGGGCCTTTAACATGTCTATAGTGTTCACAAGCCTCAGAAATGAAGCCTCCTGGGCTTTGGGGTTGTAGACAAGCTCTACTGTACCAGCACTTATCCTTTATATATCATTTCCATAAGCTGTCTCCAGACAGCAGCTTTCAGAATTCTCTCAAAAGTACATAATGTTACTGGAAATTTTGCTGCTGAAATAAACTTGACAAGATTTTAGCTTAGCAGTTTCAAGAGAATTCCCTTCATCCTGGCAAGGGAAGTGTGGTGGGTAAGAAGTAAAAGAGGAATGTCTGATGCTGCTGACCTTCCCTTCCCCTTTTATATATGCTGGATCCCCAGTTCATGAGATGGTACTTCCCGTTGAGAGCAATCCTCTTCCTGTTACTCCACAGACAGACAGAGTGGCAAGTTTCACTGATGATAGTTGGTAGGACAGAACGCCAGCCAGGCCTTGTGCAAGCCAGGCAAGAAGAGCTCTACCGATGACTTATACTCAGAGCCAATCCTGAGTGATTTGAATTTCAGCCACATTGATGGAGATTAACAGTTGCTATGTGAATAGATGCCATGTTGGGCTCTTAGAGTTTGCTAGAGTTTCTGTATTCTTGGCATTATTAGTTTACTGAAATTTCTTCCTGAATTGAGTTGACCCTTAGATGAGTCAGCTGTTCAGAGTACATTTTTTACTAGATCATTTTAAAGTAGAGTTCTCTAACTGATGAATTGAGACAGGTCTGTTTGCACTTCAGTGCTTCCCTTCAGATATTCCAGAGATGTCTGTTACTCTGTAAACACTTGGGGCATCTGCAAAAAAAGTGTGATGCTTGGGTAGTGACTTTCTGCAGATGGATAGGTGACCTGCCTCAGGTTTGATGTGAGGATTAACAAAGCTGAGGTAATGTCTTCCAGAGACTTCCTGTGTGAGGGAGAAAGACTGTTGAATACTTACTGGCTTTACCTTAGGTCATGGTAGACTTTGGGGATGTTTCCTTAGTTGGCCCCCGGGATGGTCTACACCTCCCCATGTTAGAAATGGGAAAGTTGTCTGGTTCATTTCCAGTGTTTTCTCTGTTCTCATTTGCTGCCTCAATCTTGAACAAGGGATTGTGTAAAGAGTTTACCAGACCCATACTCCAGGGCTATTTAATAGGCTTATGATGTCTTGGAGACTCTAGAAGTAACAGTTATGAACTATAAACCTATTACATCCCAATTATGAAGTAGTGGTATTTGTTACCCAAAAAGTTCCTCACCATGGGCCTGTACTAGATATCTGGGGCCTCTTTGGCTTCCTTAACCTTGTCCTCACTCTAGTCTAGAGTAGACTAAGGATCTCCATCCCTATATGACCTCTCCCAGTAGTTCTTCCATATAGTAGGGGACCAGGAGAAAAGGTCTGATGTTATGGTCATTATGGACTATGGAAGTCTATGCACCTTCCCAAGAATAGATGGTTAAACTTGGGAATTTCGCATGCTGATGTGCTTACTATTAAATCACCTGTGACATCAGCTAAGAAAGGACTGAGGAGAATTTGGGGCCAGCCTGGGTTACAATGTGACCCTGCCTCCGACAACAGCAAAAACCAATGTCGTTTTGCAGAACTCAGTTGGCTTGATGGAATTATCATTGAAGAGTATTGGTTATAAGTTATTTCATGTCTTTATAAGCACATAATGTGGACATGCCTAGTTCTGTAGAGCAGCACACCCCTGACTGGGAGTATTTAGATATTGGGAGACTAGTGGTTTCAATGGCACAGATTTGGGAGAATGGAAATGAGGAGCTGAGAACAGAGGGAGGGTGTAGAGCATAGTTGAGTTCTGTTGAGATTGATTGTAATAGGATTACATCACTGCTTGCTGGTGTTAATGTGCTAATTAATAAATAATTGGGTTATTAACCCCCACCCCTATCACAGCACCTTATACTTAGCAAGGCCTCCAAAATTAGAATTGGCCAAATATTCTGGCTTGCTCCCAAACAGGCTGTTGTCTATATTTTCATCATACAAACAAACAAAACCATTTGTATTACTGCTTTCCAGAGCCCCTACAAACAATGGGTATGCAAAGAGATTCTATGGGATGCATGAAAATACCTAGGAGTCCTACCAAGACATTGTGGTGGATCAGAGGGTTATTTTGAAGGAATATTAGTTTTTGTTTTTTGTTTTTCAAGACAGGGTTTCTTTGTGTAGCTTTGGAGCCTGTCCTGGAACTAGCTCTTATAGACCAGGCTAGAAGGAATGTTAGCCTGGTATCTCAACCTATGCTATGGCTTAAATGTTTGTGTGCCCTTTCTAAAGTCACAAGTTTGAATCCCTACCCTCACTTTCACCACACTAGGAGGTACAAGCTTTAAGAGGTGTTTAGATCATGGTGATACGGTGATCTAATAGGATCTAAATAGGATTTAATTTGATTTTATGAGATCAGATTTGTTTTTGTTTGTTGTTTTCAGAAAGGATTTCTCCATGTAGCCCTGGCTGTCATGGAACTCACTCTGTAGACCAGGCTAGCCTCAAAATCAGAGGTCTGCATATCTCCACCTCGGAAAGTGCTGGAATTAAAGGTGTGTGCCTCCACAGACCAGTGCAAATGAGTATCTTTTTCAGTCACATTTTG